ACGCATATACATATCTGTGACAGACCATTAATGTTTACATGTACAGAGATTTTTTTCTCAATGGATCTCGTGAGACTTACACAGCAAAAGTTAGACTAAGTAATAAATATTTTTATCGTAATAGTGTTGTACTATTTTTATAACTGTTTAAGTTCTTTATTGTGTGCTTCCGTGATATAATGCAATAACAGAAAATTTATTGTTGATATAAAATTTTCTGCTGGTCTTAGTTAAGGTACATATTTGTTGTTTTAATACTCATTATTTTAGGTAAGTTGTATTCCAAAACCTATTTATGCTATTTATTGAATATAATGTTTATAGTTGCAATATCTAGTGCTACCATAAAAAAAATGATTTCACCGTCATAATAGAATTGTTGCATGATTTTTGCATGTACTCTTATATTAATTTAAAAAGTTTTGATCTGCACTCACAGACTTTCTCAGTGTCAAGTACTAAATGATCCGGTGTTTTCTTTTAAGACAGCCCATACAAAAACATTGAAATGTTGTATGTGGCATACTTTAGCCTAAAATCTCGTTGCTTTGTAATCTGATGAATTTTTTTGGATGCCCATTTTTTTCGTCTAAGTAACTTTCTTTTGGTTCTTTTATACAGCGATTTCTTCCTTTTTTTAAATAGATAAACTTAAAATTTTGAATGATCAGTTTTACAACAGCATCTACGAAAACTAAATTTTTCGAATACTATAATACTCTAATGACAATACCTATCATTTGACCTTTCATTGTCCTCCTCCGATACACTCACACACACGTAGCATCAAGTGCTTGATGTCATACATGCTTCCCGAGTTGATGTACAGAAGGCGAAACGAACGGACATCAAAATAACAAAATAAATGCATGAAATTTTTAGCAAACTCCTACAACCGAGTTAGTAAATAACAGAATTAATTGACAATAATAGTATTCATTACATAAGAAATACCGTGGGGCGCTTCCACTTACAATCAAAATTATAGGTACAGTTGAAGCACCTGAAGAGGGATAAGGATAACAAAGATAGTTCCTGTTTTTAGTCAGGTTCAAAATACTTACTCTTATGATTAATTAAACAATAAAACTAAACTCGAACTAATTAAAATCGCAAAATAAACAAGACACAAATAACGAAAGTTGCTGAGGTAAAGCCGCAAGCACAATAATGGTACCTCTTAGTAACTAATTAAACCTATGTAGTGCCCACCGATTCGATCTCGCAGACGATACGTATCAGAATTAACTTATGGATAGGCCTAGTTAATTGAGTATTCTGAGTTTTAACCCTTACGACTCGCATCAGCGTTTTAGGATCCTTGAAAATGTGTACAATTCTCGCAAGAGGCCACTTGCTGGGGAAAGTGGGTTCATCCTTAATCAAAACAAGATCTATTTCTAACGACCTTTAGGGGGAAGTCCACTTCTCACGAGTTTGAAGGAAGTTTAGGTACTCCACTGACCACCTGCGCCAAAAACACTGGACAGTTTGGGACATTAGCTTCCACCGGTGCAGGGGTGATATGTGGTCAAGTCTGGCTCTGGTATCGAATAGGAGGGCTTATACATCAAGAAGTGAGAAGGCGTAAGGGGACTTAGATCCGTGGGATCGTCAGTCAAGGGCGCCAGGGGTCTTAAATTCAAACACGACTCAATCCGACACAACCAAGTGGAGAACTCGATGAACGTGAGAATCTGTTCTCCGATGACTCTTTTTAGACGAAATTTCGTCGATTTCACCGCACCCTTACACAGACCACCGAAATGTGAGGCAGAAGGGGGGTTGAAGTGTCACTGTATGCCCAGAACACAGAGAGCATCAGCAAAGGGCGCGTTCTTTTGCCAGTCCCTTAACATTGCGTTTAGTTCTCGGTCGGCTCCCACAAAATTAGTGCCCTGATCACTGTATAGATCAGTGCATTGACCTCGTCTAGATTTAAACCGTTGGAAAGTCGCAATAAAGAAATCGGAAGTGTAATCTTCGACGACCTCCAAATTTGCAGCTCTGGTAGCCATGCAGACAAATACAGCAATGTAAGTCTTTAGGGTGCCTCGCCCACGATGCTTTGCCAGACGAATGGGAAAGGGCCTGGCATAATCGACACCTGTCTTTTTGAATGCCGGTGGAGGAGTCACCCAGGCTCTTAGAAGACTAGCTATCAGCTGAGTTTGTGGTAGAGCAGCATATCGGCGACAGGTCAAGCAGTGAGCCAACTTGAAACTTACGATCTGTCAACCGTTTATGATCCAGTACTTCCGACGAAGGGCGGTCAAAGTCAATTGAGTTCCTCCGTGAAGAGTAATGAGATGGTGTCGTTGGATAAGTAACAATGTTAGAGGAGCGGCGTTGGCTCAGTGGTAAGCGTGCTTGCTACTGATACAACGCTATTCTAGGGGTCGTGGGTTCGATTCCCGGTGAGTGCAGATTTTTTCAAAAACTGTTTTCACCGGAAAAAGTTCCTATGTAACCCCGGCTGTTTCGGGGCGGGTTTTTCCGTGGAATTTTCCTTCAGAGTAATTCCAGGGTTTTTTCCTTGCTCCACAGGTCTTTGGGCCTGGGTGAATGTGAAACAGTGTTAGGGCCTAATAGGTAGGGATTAGTGGGCCCGATGCCAGGCAGGGATCGCCGGCCTTACCGGTGAGGAGTGGCCCCTGAAACATGGGGCTTCTCCGGGGATGCTAATTAGCCTGGTTTCGATGCTTCGGACCCAGGCTACACAGTAGCGAGTTGATCCAATGCACTTCCTCCCGGTGCAGAGAGTGTCAGCTTAACTGACAAGGTGTGTTACACCGGAGATACTTCCACTGTGCCCATGGTATGATTTGTGTGGTATCAGTTAAAGAGAAGATTTGGGGTAAATGGGTGTGGCAAGACACCCCCACACATAGGTGGTGAGTGGGTGGCCCCAGCGACTGGGCCAATAGGCTGTCGTGGTAACCCGATATATGTATATAAAAAAAAAAAAGTAACAATGTTAAAGGGTCTCTGCCAAACAAAATCAGAGGGTGTTTGGCGTCAGAATCAAGCAAGGCGTTGCTTAATCTGCCTCCAACTCGTAACAACCCGTCAGACAGAAAGGGGGCTAGCTTTCGTTATCGGCTAGAGGCGGGAAGACATTCTTGTTGACCAATAGCAACGTCGATGTTGCGTTCAAGAACTGCGATGTCAGGCGCAAAATTGCGCCGTTGATGATCAAACACTAAAAACAAGGAAGTGGCATCTAACTCATCAGTTGTCAAGCTTAGAGAAGAAACCTGAATGAACGGATCACGATGAAGAAATTCTAAAGCAGTGGACTGTATAGTGAGTGGTGGGGGTGACTTTCTCAAACTCTCGTGACACTGAAAGGCAAAACGCATGACGTAAGCCGTGGCTCGCAAAATCCGAAGCCAATGTGAACAACGACCTAGCAGGATTTAAACGAAAGAATCAGGTCTTTCTTCTGAGCAACTTGATACTAGATTAAACGAGGGCAGTGGCTCGATAATTTTAACCTTGAGCTCAGGGTACTGAGGATCAGTTTCATGTAAGATATCTGGACCGCGGAACCAGATCCGTTTGGAGACGAATTAACTGGGCATAATGCCTCGAGAGGCCAAATCAGCAGGGTTTGTCTTGTCTTGAGGTAATGTGGTGCCATTTGGCACTGGTAACCAACGTGTGGATGTCTGAACATCTGTTTGCAACAAAGACCGGCCACTTGACGGCGGAGTGTTAAGCCAGTGAAGAACGTTGAGGGAGTCTGTCCATAAGTGTACAGGAGCTCCGTTATAATGGCAAGTATTTACAAAATGTTTGACGATTTTTGCAAGTAGATGAGCAGCGCACAACTCAAGTCGAGGAATTCTCAGTACCTTCAAGGGGTCAATACGGGTCTTAGCTACTTGGAGCGACACGTGTACATCTCTGCCATTTAGAAGGTGTGTGTAAACGACAGCGGCGTAGGCTGACTTAGAGGCGTCGGCAAAGCCGTGGATTTCCAGCTGAGCACCGGGAGAATAATGATTCCATCGAGGGACTCTCACCTGATCGAGCTCAGGTATTTCATTCATCCACTTTACCCAGGCTTCAACAACAGGAGCTGAAAGCGGTGTGTCCCATGCTATCTTAAGCAACCACAGTGACTGTAGCAACATTTTGGGAACTATTATAATCAGTGAAAACCAGCCCAAAGAGTCGTAGTACCGAGCAGCTTGAGAGAACAAGCTCCGCTTGGACCAATACCTGGGGAGTTGATCGATCGTGAATTTAAAATGCAAATTCATCGGATGTAGGATCCCAAGACAGTCCAAGGACAGATTTAGACTCTCCATTTGTCTCCAGGATCTTCGGTTGATCAACACGATGAGCTATAGGGATGCCCTTGAGAGCCTGTGGCTAATTGGAAGACCATTTGCGCAGAGGGAATCCACCGATCCACGTCAGATTACCAAGCTCCTCACATTTGACCAAGATCTCCGCCACTGAATGACTGCCTGACAAACAATCATCTACGTAGGTTTCCTTGCATAGGATCCTTGAGGCCAGGGGATGAGATTCAGCATGCTCGAAGGCCAGTTGACGCAAGACGCGAGTTGCCAAGAAAGAGGAACACGCAAGACCATACGTGACTGTTATCTGTAAGTATGTTTTAAGCTCACAAGAGGTGTCAGGTCTCCAAAGGATTGCCTAAAAGGCTTGGTCGTCTTCGTGAGCCAAGATTTGCCGAAACATCTTCTCCACATCGGCAGTTAAGACGAATCTGTCAGCCATTTGATGATCAACTCGAAAAGATTTACCATGAGATTTGGGCCAGTGTGGAGTAAGGAGTTCAAGAACAATACATTTTTGTTTTTGGCTGAGCCATTGAAGACGACTCTAATCTTAGGTGAAGAGCACTTGGTCCTTAAGACTCTATGATGAGGGAGAAAGCTCTTTGCCGATCTGGAATCGAATATCTCACGCATGTGGCCTAGAGCTATGTATTCAGACATGAAGGACTTGTATAACTCGAACAATCAAGGATCGTTCCTGAATCTTTGCTGACGGATCATGGAGAGCACAGTTTTGTATGAGCCCTCACGAAGCGAAAGAGTGGCAACAGTTTCGCCCTTGAACGGAAGTTTGACCACGAAATGGCCGTCAGGGGATTGAGAATGCTTGAGGTTGAATTGCTCCTCGCAACGAAGATCGTCTTCCTTCAGCTCAGGCTTGGAGAGAGGTTTCTCGACCAGCCAAAATCGTTGCATAACTTCATCGAGATCAGAGCCCTTGGAAATGTGCATCACTGCAATTTCTTCAGGTGCGGTGATCAAGTGGCTGGCTTGCTTGAAGGAAGGGACACTCTTCGATACGAAGGAAACAGGTTCTGATAATAGCCATCCGATCTGAGAGGCTGAAGTGATGGGTTGATCGAGGGAGCCTCGTTGAATTGAATTTTGAATTATGTAGGCATGAACAAAGGCTTCTAGTAGAACGTCTATTTTATCGAGGGAGTGATAATCAGGGTCCGCTAGTTGAGGTTCTTGAATGTATGAAATATCAACTAAGCTTCTTGAAGTAGGAGGCTTATACGAAGAAATCTTAGGAACATGCAGGGCCTCAGTGTCGCGCTTGACACACGAATCAAAATGGGGTTGAAAGTTTATGTAAGTCCTTCTCGTAACATGAGTTAAGGGTGAATCCTCTACGCCAGCTAATGAGATGCTAACCGAGTGCGTCTTAAGTCTTAAGACCTCGCAAAGAGAACGAGTCACCAGAGAACTTTGAGAATCCTGGTCAACAAGGACTCTGACTAGAACCTGTGAACGATCTGGGCCTCGAACGTAAATTCGAGTGGTAGCTAAAAGAACCTTGGGTTCTGAAGGTAAACCCTCGCTACGCAATAAGTTGATGTTAGCGCAGAAGCTTTGATCGGGTGGAAGTTCATGAGCTTTTTTAGGACCACCGGCGTGCTTATCAAAAGAGGTTGAGTCTTTCGAGGGACTTGACTTGGCCTCTTCCTTATGCAATAGGGTATGATGCTTTCGATGACAAACCGAACACGAGAACTTACTCTTACACTGTTTTACAAAGTGTTGACCAAGAAAATTGAGACAAAGTTGCCTGTCGTTTACGAGCTGCCGTTTTTCGTTCAGAGGTTTACCTTGGAAGGTTGGACAGGAGAACAAACGATGGGGCTTGCCGCAGAGAAAGCAACTAATGGAGCCTGAATCGTTAAAAGTGGCGATTTGATGCATGAATGAAGACTGTGGTTTGGATTTTGACGTATCTTGGGACGTAGGCTTCCGTTTAACTGACTTTAACGTTTCCATCGTGATAATTTGGGCAGCTATAAACTCATGTAAACGAGCAAGAGTAGGCGGCTCATCACTGCTACCTAGGTGCTTCTGCCACTTACGGTTGGTAGAGTTATCGAACCTACTGACCACAAAAACGATGATGATGTCTTCGCACCAGTTATCTCTACCCAAAGCAACAAGAGAGTCGAGGGGGCCCAAAGTCTTCTTTGATAAACGCTTTATTTCCGGGCAGGAGTTGGACTTCATGTTCTGACAATTGAGGACAGTGCTGGTGTAATGGATAACCAGACGATGCTTATTGTCATAAAACTTAACCAGAACGTTCCAAGCTTGAGTATAGTTATCGCCCAAGAGGGGAATATTTTTTATCAGATCAGCAGCATCTCCAGGTCAGTGGTCGTCGGATCGGGTCCTAGTCGGGACGCATAGTCTTCAAAATCACCCGCGACTGAGCAGTAAGCTTTCTCAATTACGTCTATATAATTTTTTTTAATGTAGTCATGTTGACCAATATTTCATCGAGACCCAGAATTTGATTGTGAATCGACAAGGCCTGATCGTACGAATCCTTAACGGCTTTGCTTCGAGTCATGCATTGACCCATGGTCATTTTCACTTCGCCTAGTTTTTTAAAATTGTCGTACGCGTTCTTTATTTTCCGATAAAGCGCTAGCTGCTAATCGTAAAGGGTTTTCATAGTGATCATTGTTTAAAGGGAAAATGAAGCAAACCCGTAGCAGGAGATCGAATCAAGGGACACGCGCAAAGTGAAAAGCGATTAGTTTAGGTACACAAATCACAAGAGTGTGTTACCGCATATACACCTTGTAATGAAAAATCCGACCACCAGCAGCCGAAGCCAGCCTTGGTGGTCCGACTAATTGGGTGTCAGGTTCAAGGGTGATTAGTATATTATATGCTAATAAAACACTAACACAACGCAAACACTGAAAATAACCTGAATGTCGATATCTCGTGCACTCGTGGAGCAGAAGCGCAGATTTCAGAGAGGATCCGCAGCGTCAGAGATCAGCAGGCGTACGGCTCGCATCTACAGCCAGCGATGATGCTCAAAGCGTAGCTAGTAGTAGTGGGTGACCCTTTGAGAGATAGGGACAGCAACTCTGGCCAGAAAAACGTGCGCGTGCAGCGGCGCAACAGCAGCAACGTAGAAGCAGCACGTTGACGGACGACGATGCTCTATAGCAGGCCGATCACCTGCAAACAAACAAAATGGCTGTCTACGAGCGAAGAACTCACGAGGCTTGCCACGCTTCGATGACTGTGTATGGCGGTGGAGCCAAGTGCGAGCTGGAGCTCGGCACCCTTGGCGGGATGATGGCTCGTGGAGGAGCGCAGAAGCAATGGCGTGCGTGGTGATGACAACCCGCAGCACCGTGTAATGGATGGGCGTGGAGACGACATCCGCAGCACCGATGTAGATGGTTCGTGGAGGAGCGCAAAAGCAATGACGGGCGCGGTGACGACATCCGCAGCACCGATGTAGATGGTTCGTGGAGGAGCGCAAAAGCAATGGCGGGCGCGGCGACAACATCGGCAGCACCAACGTAGATGGCTCGTGCAGGAGCGCAGCAGCAATGGCGTGTGCAGTGACGACGACCCGCAGCACCGTGTAAAGGGTGGGCGCGGCGACGACGTAGGCCAAAGGCGAGTAGGAAGCTCAGCAACCTTGGCGTGTAGCGGCCACGTGCGCTGGGAGCGCAGATGAAAAATGGCTGACAGCAGAACAAGATGACACGACTTATTCTTCCCCTTATATCTGGAACGAAGAACCTTGTGCGCTATCAATGCCTAAAGGACGGCGATGCTGAGAAGATGCACTGGACGTTGAGGGGAGAAAGGCGGGTATCGGTATGCACAAAACAAGACACTCAAAATGCAGCAAGGTAGATTCGGATTAACTTAATTTTTCTTGCACGCAGTCTTGTTACAGGAGTGATGGAGAAGCTCAGCGTAACAACGTCTGGATCTCGCGCTTGATGTTCAACGCTGACTGGACGCAACGATGCAAAGCTTGAAGCACAGTCCACTCTCTCTCTAGCACGACGCATGCGCTTCAGTGTCTTATTAAAATGCTCTCAACTTTCTGCTCCGTTTTGAAGATTGATCGCAGATGAATATATTATTTATGGAATAAAAAGTATTGACTTTTTAAATTTTAGAAATCAGAAAGTAAAAATAATAATATTTTTATCGATATCGTATGCTACCGATGTCAATTTTTTTTATGAAATATCGAGGTCATCATTATTAATTTGATATTAAATATTGTTATTTTAGTACTATTTATATGTATATAAAATTATATTTAATACAATTAATTTCATGTCTATCATAAATCAATTTGATACTATGATCTTAAAAAATATGTTATAATTTCAATTCAGTACATCATTAAAATGTATTCGAAATTTTTGATATTGATTTCAATAACTTTTTATTTATTACTTGTACATTGACTGGTGAGTGTAC